CCCCCCCTACCTCCTCAAGAGATCTACTTTTCCTCTCTTTGGTTACTGTCACGCCAGAAGCCTCACCCCTCCCCGTTCGTCATTACACCAGAAGCCCCACTCCTCCCGCTCCTCGCCGCGCCAGGAGCCCCAATCCCCGTCCCCTCCTCGGGGTCCGTTACGGATCCGCTTATGAAAGCACCCAAACAACTGTATGCTTATTTTTGAATTTCCAGAATAATTTACGGCAATAAAAGGGGAAAGAAATCCGCGATGTGCAATGTGAAACGAGCGAGCTGCATAAATTTTAAAACTTATTTCGCTGAAGCAAAATAAGGACGAACTTGTAAAAAGTGAGCATGCCACCAGTGAGAAACATATTGCCTGGCACTTGACAGCTCATTCGTCCCGGCAGAATCATCAGCTCATGTGTTGTTGGATGGTAAGCGGAATCAAAGATTTGTTTGGCACGCCATAACCCGTCAAGCGTCAGATCTGCGGGCACTTTTCGCTTTTCCCTAAAAATCACAACTGCTAGGCCTGAAAATAATATTTTTCATTTTAATGCATCTAATCTGTCAGCAGTGATGCGAGGAGGAAATAAGGCACCAACTCCCTATCCATCTTACTTTCACTGTTGTCAGTCAATCTGCGGCGTGCCAGGGTGGGCCTGTATGGCTTTGGCGGTCCCTCTTCCTTTTCATGTAAAACTGTTCTAGACCACTTCTACTGAAAACAGAAAAAATTTCAAAAAAAAGCCAACAAACCCTACGACTTTAACTTTAAAAAAACCAACATGTGATTTTTACGTTTTTAAAATTCGCGTACGAAAAGGACTTCGACGATTTTTCTTTTTAATAACTGCAGGTGGAGTATCAATTTATTGGTTCTATTATTTACAGAATTTTTTTAGACCGAACGTCGGAAATTCTCTAAAATCCCAATCAGTATGGCTCGGAGATTGCGATGTGTAACAACTGACGCTAAATTGGTTGATGTTTCCGTTTGATATTTAGTTGATGATTTAGTTTTTTTCGTTTTAATTTGACTTCTACCTTTTCATCGCTTCTCTCAACACTTATAAATCATATTATTTTTTACTTGCAAATAATTCATCATTACTACGCCTACTTTCTTTTAAAACAAATTTGCTTAACTCTTCTATAACTCATAAAAAATGAATAATGGCCCAATTTTAGCTCTATTTCATTCCTCTCCTCAAATGACTGCTTTCGCAGAGCGCGAGCCTAATCGATGGGTCTGATTTGTCCCACACGCATGAAAATTCAAAAAAAAAAAATTGAACTAGAACAAACTGGTAATCGAGGACAATCTTTTTAGCCGCTTCCAATCGTTTCCTAGAGATGAACAAATTGAGTGGATTGGTAACAACAAAAAAATGTCGAGCACGTCCCTCGAATGTCGACTGGTCCCAGCGTGGCCGGGAAATGTCCGGCGGGTTTTTCATTTGTGATACCAGTTCCGACATTGTGCTAGAACTCATTCGATTAACGGATCAGCTTTTTTTCGTCACTCAAACTGCTTCACCAACGCACGTGTAAAATGTACAACACCATTCTGCTACTGCCATGTACCCGGAAGTTGGCAGAACGCACCAAAACTAGGACTTCCCTCCCTGTGCCATCGTCTTGAAGCTGGAGAATTCTTCGACATCGATATAATAGAAAGGTATATTAACAAGGGATGAAATAAGCAGAAGAATCAAAAAGGAAGGTAAGAAATAAGAATTAGAAAATTTAAAGCACTCTAACGCTCTGCAGGTGCTCCTTTAAGAGTACACCAGGAAGAAGCAGCGGACAAGCACCCCTAACTTAACGCTCGCAGAAGCTTGCCTATTAGCTTTCAGACCTCTTCGGAGTAGCCGCACACACATCCACACACTCACACAGCAGGAACCGTAACAAGATTTATCGCATGAGCAACCGCAGCGCCGAAGAATGAGGATAAATGGACGCAAAGACAGCCAGGAAGACGAAGAGAGGGACGTGGACGGACGCGTGGAGGAGAGAAATTCAGACGAACAGAACGAGCGAGAGGCACATCGAAACAATCTTTGGCCACTCTACGGCAAAAAAAAAATTCATGGAAAAGGGACGACAGGTTTCTTTACATGTGCACTTTTGCTTGAGTGGGCGGAGGGAGAATAAGGAGTTCCCATTTGCCCAGGAGAGGGAGTTGCGTCACAATAATCAGGAAAAGAGTGGCAAACAAAGGGGATATCCCCGGCCGGAACTCCCACAAACTCACAGTGGTCATATGAGATGTGCCTGCACTTTGGCAACAATAGTTCGAATTACCCGGTCCACTGGACAGTTGGTGGGAATTGCTCAGAGTGATGACCAGTAAGCAAAACAGCTGCGAAAGACAAAAAACAGCATTAGCACTAAATATCCTGGACTGGGAAACCATTAGGCTTGCTGATGCGGCCATGCGTTTTCGCACTAAACTTGAATTAGGACGTTATCTGCATGAACGGCTGCTGCTTTACACATACTTTGTTCGCCCACTAGCCTAAATCATCGTAAATTTTGCATAAAGGAAAACGACCAATTTCCGCCAAACAGTCGTCCTTTCAAAATGATCTAGCTGTTCAGTGAGTAATTTTTCCATCAAAACTTTCAAATGTCCGCACGCATATCTGGTGGCCGAATTTGAAATCTCTAACTCATGTGTGGACGAGAAACATCACCCTACCCTAAAATTTCAATCTTCCAGCTTTTCTGGTTCCCTAGTCAGTAATTTCCCCGTCACGTATCCGTACGTGAGTACCATGTTTATTAGGAGCTGTATTTGAAATCTTTAACTTGCAGTACGAGAAAAGTTCCCTTAATATTTCAACCTTCCAGCTTTTCTGGTTCTCGAGCTGGCAATTTTCTCGCTAGACTGTCTCATGCTTGTATGCGGGGCTCAGAGGTGCTTAAACGTTGGTACGGCGGTCCTAGGGTGGTACATGGCCAACGAACCATCTGGCAAATAAAGCCTGCCTGGTTGCAGAGTTGAAATACCTGGGCAAACGCGCACGCGCACCATCGGTCGTCATAATATGCGTTTTTGTGTTTGCATACAAGCAAAACCGTAAAAAAAAAAAAAACGCATTTACAAGGTAGGCACCATTATGCGTTTTTGCAGTGAGTTGTTGTGGGGGTTGGGAGATGTAAGACCCAGAAAACAGAAGTTACAGTCAATTCTGAATTTAAGTCTAACGTCATAGGTTAGGGTACAGCAGCATCGAACCCCTCCATCCCCCTCCCCCAACATATACCAATAACCTTTTCCATTGCAGTATGAAACAGACGTTGCTTTTCTTTCGTACAGAGGCGGGAGCTTCTCCCCCTCCCCCAGCCCCCTCCTCCTACTTAGCGCCCTTCCCTTTTTTTGGCTTTGTTCTTTTTTTCGACTCGTGGTCGACGGACGATCTGGTCATCTGATCAAGGCCCACAGTTCCAACACAAAGATCTGAAATGATTTAAGGTTTGTAGTCTCGAATGAGGACGGGCACTACACACTCAAAACTTGCACTTTCTAACTTCCTAGATCTAGAGTTAAATTATTTGGGCGGATATACACATATACACGCACAAGCATTCATGCCATACATACATATATATACACACAAATATATATATATATATATATATATACGCACACACAAACACACAGATAACCTCGTTTTAATGCGTTTTCATTTTCACAGCTATAAAAAAAGCATGAAACTAAACTCTCCAATCTGTGCAGTTAGAAAGGTAACACAAAACCTCTGTTGGCAAAATGAGCTTGTCAAGTCGTATGAGCCGTTTCCAGGAGGTACTGAGAAGCTCATTCGATGCTGCGGTGGCGTGCAGAGAGCGCAGAGGTTGACTGCATTCCGGGAATGCGCATTTGGATGGATGATGTCCCCGGACACTCCCCTTGTCAACCATTTCTTCACAAACCTCTATGCCGACAGCGATGCTAACTTTTAATTGTAAAAATATCATTTCAAATAAACTTGCCACTTTTGATGGAAGACGGATGTGTTTGTGGGTGATATCAATTTTACTGCTGCCAAAAAACACTTCTTTCTGCCAATCGTTCCATGTTCTGTGACTACCCGCACTGTGAGGATTCGAAAACGTTTAAAATTGCGTTCGCAACGGTGCATCAGTAAAACGAGCCAAACGATCAGTGGGTCAAAATCACCAGCGCAAGACTAGGTTTCGAAGGCACTAGAGATTACTTGGACATAACGAGCCAGAAATTTTCGGTGTCAATGTCCGCATGTACTTTTCCCGCTGATGCTTAGCATATCCCCCAAAAACTCGCTTTTAGACTTTTGAAGCATACTTCATCAGATAGAATTGAAAAAAGAAAGGAAAAAACACAGTACGGTGAATGAACAACCTGCTTCTTTGTCATCTGACCTTACATTGTGTTAGTTTCTCGCCTTTTTTTATCTCTTTTAAAATTGCTGTCAATCTCAATAACAGCTTCTCGAGCATAACTAATATTGAACTGTAATCGCGTCATTTTGCTAGCAGCAGATTTTATAAAAATTTTGCACAGCCCATAGATCTGGACTAAAATTCGAGGAAACTAATGGAAGCAGTACGACCGGATGTTTTGTTGCCTTTTGAAAATCTTTTTCGGTCAGAAGTGAGTCGAAAAAAAAATCCGCACG